GACACACGCCTCAAAGCAGCCGATCCCAGAGGAATGTCGTCGATTGGGAAGCACTGAGGCACCTTCAGCTCCGCAGCGCCGGGGCTGCCGCTCGCTTCGCCCTCCCATCCCTTCCCACCCCGCGAGTCCTTTGAAGAAAGGAATTAAGTCAAAAACGGGTAGTTGTTGTCACAAAGTCTCTCAAGTGTTTTGTCCTCCTTCTCCTCCTGCTGCTGCTGCTGCTGTCCCCCTGGCTCCACAGCAGCATCCTCTGCGTGGCCCCTCACTGCCGGCCGTTGTTCTCTGCGGGCTGGCTGGGGGTCTTGGCCTCGGGGTGCGAGGAGGTCCCCTCAAAGCGCTGGGAGGCGATGGCTGCTTGGTGGGACATGCTCTTCCTCACGATGTCTCCTTTCCGCCAGAGCACCACCTCCTGCAGTAACACAGCCAGCAGGCCTCGTCAGGGCTCGGGAGGCCTCCTCCTAGCCCCAGCCAGACCCAGAGCAGTGAGAGCTCAGCCTGTGCTGGCATCTTCCACCACATGTGTGCATGAGGCCATCTGCAGCCTTGGGAAATTTGGGCAGAGCGCTCCTCCCCAGGGTCTGAGCACGCAGAGGGAACCCACTGGACATCTAGGGCAGCCCTGTGCCACTGCAAGGGGCTACCACGTTGGAAGGGGTAAGGTGAGAAGCTCCACCATGGGGCAACGGTGGGGAAGAAATCCCAGTTAGGCACCTTCTACTGACCCCTGTGGACCACCCCGTGCACACTCTCATTGGTCTAATCCTTATGGATGCTCAGTCGAGAACATGATTCTCCCCATGGGAATCCCAAATTCCCAGAAGGTGCTTATAACACAGCAAGTCCACAGGTCCGAGAAGGAAACCAGCCCTGCTCCTCACCTGCTGTTTGAAGTAGCGTCTCTCTTCCTCATCGATCAGCACCAGGTTGAGGTAATAACGCACCGAGAACTTCTTATTGATGTCCCTCATGGTTGGAGTCAGCTCGTAGCCAGCCAGGAAGAGCCTGATGGGAATGGACTCCCCTGCAAAGCACACAGAGCCACCAGCACAGCCGTCAACTGGAAGAGCACCAGCAAAACACCTCACTAGGCCACAAACGTCGTGACCATCTCCACAAGTGGAGTAAGGTGAGCAAGAAGACCTCAACCCCCTTCAGAAACCCCCAGCCAGGGCCTGCTCTTGCTGACAAGCTACTCCACCTCCACTTCTAGCAGCACGGGACTCGCTGTGACCTGCATCAAGACAGCACTGCAGGAAGAAATGAGTAAGGTGACATTTTCTCTGCTGGGCAACGGAGAACGTGGCACAGGAGGTTGGCACGGAGCTAGAACATCATCTTTCTGCTCCAAGCTGCAGCAATGCCAGCTGGTGGCCCATGCCAGCAGGGAATTTACATCTATTCCACTGCTTCAGCACAAGAATTAAGTCATTGCAACTCATTATGCCTCAGTTCCTCCTCCTCAGATCAGAGGAGGAAGGGGATTGTATTTAATCACCTCTGGAAACTGCTGTGAGCCCACCAGGGAAATAGGAGCACACAGATGCAGCTGAAGATACTGCAGGACTCCTATTCCCATCCCAAAAGACTCCCAAGGAGAGGAATTCTGAGGGGTTCATCTGCCTTCTCACCTCTCACAGGTGCCCCATCCATGATCTCGTATTTGGCTATTGTGTCATTCTCATGATAGACGTTGGGGCCGGTCCCTGTTGTTTCTCTCTTGATGATATCTATCTCCATGTGCTTGATCTTGATCCGCACCAGCAGGAAGTAGATCTTGCCAACAATCACATCTTTTAAATGATACCTGGAGCGTGAAGGGAGAAAGCACCACAAGGAGTGTCTGCAAGAAACCCCCACGACCCCAAAGCCTCCAAACCCAATCTTTTAGGTCAAGTAAAACTAACCCCAATGTTACACCAGAGGGAGGTTTGTCAGCATCAGCTGGGAAAGGTGCAGTAAAACTCGCTTCAAAAGAGCTTGTTCCCAAGTTCTCTGCCTGAATTAAGGTCTCACTTCAGCTGCACTGACTGGTAAAGAGCAGACTTCCTACTTGGAAGACACTTGGAAATACTGATCTTGCCAAGGATAATACAGGGAACACGAAGTTACTGCAGCAGCCTCACGCTGTGCTCCAAGCTCAGGGCTTCCCACTCCTCGATCAGAGACGTGGGACCCCCCACATCTATGGGGCAGGAAGAGGAACCCACAGCTCCTGAGCAGGACCCGAACTGCCTTGCTGGAGCAATGTGAACACGGAATCCCTCTGAGGATCACAGGCAAGACACGTGCCTCAGGCTCCCAAACCAAGCTGTCCCCTGTAGCAGATGGCTCCCCACAGCCACTGCCTGCTCTGGAGACACTTACTTGGACTTGTTGTACTCAAACTCGATGTGTAGGCAATCCTCAATCCCCACCTCCATCTTGATGGAGGAGTTGAGCTCCGGGTAGGTGCTCAGGGTGTGCACAACTATGTCCATCTCCTTCACCACGTCGTTCAGTCGGCGGCTGACGGTCGCGCGGAGGAAATACCTGCAAGGCCAGTCCCCTGCTGTTAGATGGGGGGGCACAGGAAGCAGTGGGGACAAGCAGGGAGGGATGTGGGTTGCACTGGGCTAGCCCAGCAGTATCCTGGTTCCTGGAGCAGCCAGAACTCCGAGTGGGAAAAGACATGAAGGGAATTTTCTAATGGGAGAGGCTTCTCTAAGCTCTCAGCCTGAGCTGCCCAAGTGCTGTTGAGGAGACCCAAGTAAGAGCTTGCACGTGTTAAAACCACTTTTGCAAGACATGAGCTCACGTTGGTGTCCACAGACACGACCTCGACTTTCCAACCCCCCTTCAAAGGCCAGGGACTGGAATTCCAGTCCACAGGAGCTCCTCGATGTGAACTACGCGCTGATAGAAGTAGAGCCCTCAAAGACAAATCCATTGGGAAGGGATGCAGGGAACCACCAGCACCTGCGCGGAGGCAAGGCCTGGGCTCAGCACGGGGAGGAGACTCACCGTAACTTCACATTCTGCCCCGTGTAGGACTCATAAGGCTTCTCCACGTGGGTGAACTCGAAGTCAAATGTCTGTGACTGAGTGAATTCACCTGGACGGGCCAGGTCTTTCACCAGGGACACGAACTCGTGGTGGTTCCCTCGGTCATAGTAGAGTTCTGGGAAGACAAAAGGCCAGGTTAAGGTGTGTGCTCAATCCCACGGGACACAGTGGGGTAAAGCAGGAGATGTCACAAGCAGGAAGGAGGAGGTCTGCACGGCCTCGCCAACTCCCAACCAGGAGCTCACCTTGCCTCAGGGAGGGGGGGTCACCTATTGTCAGTATTAATTAGACTGTTTGAGGAAGAGGAGCCAAGAGCTCATGCAATATTCCAGGGCAAAGGCATTGCCACTGTAAGGAGGGGAAGACACCACCACTGCTTCCTCTGGAACAGCAAACAGTGACTGAGCAAAATCAAGGACTAGGAAGCTTCCTGCTGTTCTTGCTTATCCTTTGATGACAAAGAGTTTGAGTGGTCTCGATTCCCACCAGGGAATAACAGTGGAGCCTGTCACCAATCCTGCACAAAGCCAGCACTCAGTGCATGACTACCAAGGTTGTGGGGAGGAGGTCGAGCCAAGTGCTCCACCAGCCCCTGGATAACACATTAACATCCATGTGAACACGGGTGAGGGAAGAACATTCACCTTTGGAAGCACTGTTCAAACCAGCCCCAAGTAACCAACACCGTCCCGTTGCTTCAGTTTTCCCCACAACCTTCTCAGGTCAGCAAGAAACAACTGCAGGTTTCCCCACTGAATGCAAGCAATCTTCTGCACTTCCACAAGTGTTCTCCCTTAAGACAAAGCCACTGAAACTTAAAGCTCTGCAATTTGCATCCACGGCTTGGTATTACGCCTAAGCATCAATGAAACCTGCCCTTCCCAAGGCTACCAGACACCCACACAGGCCTTCCAAAAGGTAAAGCCTTTGCCAATCTGCTCTGGTGAGATGAGGAAACAAAACCCCCAAGTCATCAGCCACTCCTCACCCCCCCAAAGTTCACTGTCAGCACTAAACTGCGCAGAGGAGGCTTCTAAGAGGGATTAGCAGCGTCCAGGAGCTGCAGCAAGACTCGCTTTTCCACTCCTTGAGAGAATCCAGCTTGTCAGTGACTCCTGTTCCATACACCCCTCTGCTCACCTTATCTCCATAATGGAAGTACTGGCACTGGGACTAACAGCAAGTGCCATCAAGGCTGGGCAGGCAGGTGACACGAATAAACCAGCTCTCTGCATTGAACACACGTCCACTGGGAGGGAAGTGACAGGGAGAGGCCTCGTGCCACGTAACAAGAGGAATAAGATCATCTTGCCACACGGTGCAGAAAGCAAGGACTGAATTTAAAGCAAGGGGAGGCAAATGTCAGTGCTACCTCAGAGCACCCATTCTCCCCACTACACCCCTGCCTCCCTACCTCTATCCACCTGCTGTGGACACGGACCTTGTGGCAGTGGGAAGTTGGAATAAAGCAAACTGGCTTGAGATGGAAAGCATTAAGGTGGTACACACTTCGGCTCTTTAACAAAGCAGCCTGATGGGCAAATAGAAAGGGGTGATGCGTGGCCAGAGCAGCTCCTCACACACCTGCTGGGGTGATAATGCAAGTTCAGAGCCCTTATTCCAAGCAGGTGGGGCTCAAAAGTCTTCCAAAATGGGGAATGAGAAGCAGGTGAGGCAGCACAAAGGTGAGAACAGAGCAGGAAGTGAAGTTCATGCTTAATTTCCACTGACAATCATCATCCAATGGGCTCCCTCCCCGAGGAACAGGCGCAGCTACACCCCTTGTTTGCAGGCTCTCCTGCCTGGCCCCCCCTGCCAAAAAGCAGCATTAAGCACAAACGAGGCCAGCAAAAACACTCAACACCAGTATCAGGCTTGGGTGGGGAAACCTCCCGCTCGCTTCCCTCCACCACATGATTTGCAGTGCAGGGGCTGCAGGCCCACAGCTCACACAGGGATTTTGGGGGTGAAGCCCGAGTACAAAGCGCCACAGGCACCAAACCCACCACCAGGAACATCAGCACAAGAGGGACGTGGAGCTGCTGGAGCTGGTCCAGAGGAGGCCCTGAAGCTGCTGCGAGGGCTGGAGCAGCTCTGCTCTGGAGCCAGGCTGAGAGAGCTGGGCTGGGGCAGCTGGAGAAGAGAAGGCTCCTGAAGGGGACACCTTAGAGCAGCTCCAGTGCCTAAAGGGCAAGATCATGAGTCCATGAACTTGTCTTGGGGTGCAGGGATGAAACATGGATATCTCCACGTGGATCCAAGGGTGGGTGCAGCAGCCACCCCTCCTCTGAGGGAGCAGGAACTGTTACATCTACATGGGTTACCCACATGGATAACCACGAGGTTTGAGAACTTGCAGCCACCCAACTGAGCACGCAGGGACACGCAGGGACGCACTCAGGAGAGTCAAGATGGAATCAGTCACGATGAAGAGCACTCACAAATCCCAGCCTGGTTTGGGTTGAAGGGACCTTAAAGCTCATCCAGCTCCAACCCCCTGCCACAGGCAGGGACA